ATTTTTCTGATGACTTGCCACATATTTTTGTCATTCAACGATCATTTTTGAAAGAAAATAAAGTTTGCACTATAATAGTTGACTTTAATCACATCACAATGGAAATATTCTTACTCATCCCAAGGTAGTCCATGAGAACATGAACTTTTTTTAATTTGCAAAAGATGTTGAGGAAAAATATTTGAAAAAACTAAATATAATATGATCATATTCTTAATAGAAATTGAAACGGAACCACTAGGTTTAAAACAAAAAGATGGTGATGTTGAAATTTATACCTTTCCCGATCTAAATAAATCTATTGGCAAATAGTTCGCAGGTTACTGAAGGGTTCTAAGCCATCACACTCTGTTCCATCTCTAAAAGAAGATAATGCCTATGTATTTACAGATGAAGGGAAATGTGAATTACTGAATGCTTATTTTTGTAAAGTTTCTTCTAATGATAACATAGATAAAGACCTTCCCGAATTCGAAACAAGGACAGAGGCCAAACTTGACAATACCACAATAGACGAAAATGAAATTATGGATATTATCGAAATTTTAGATTCTAAAAAAGCCTCCGGTCCCGACAATTTTAGTCATATTTTAATAAAAGAAATAAGTAATGAAATTGCAATCCCTCTAAAAATTCTGTTCAATAAATCTCTGAAAACTGGGAAATTTCCATGTGTTTGGAAACATGCTAATGTTATTCCTGTCTTTAAAACGGGAGAGAAATCAAACCCATCAAACTACAGACCAATTTCCTTGTTGAGTTGTATGGGGAAAATCCTTGAAAGAGTAATGTTTAAATACATCTATAACCATTTAGTATCACATAAACTGTTATATAACCTACAAGCTGGATTTATGCGTAGACATTCAACAGTCACCCAGTTAATAGAAATTTATCTTAACATTTGTATTGCTTTAGACAATAAAGAAGTCACCTGCTTTGCTTTTTGTGATATCAGTAAGGCATTCGATACGGTTTGGTTGAAAGGCTTAAAATACAAATTAGAAAAATACGGGTTTGTGGGTGAAGTTCTTGCTTGGTTAAATGATTATCTTACTGGTCGATCACAGCAGGTCAAAATCAAATCATCAAGTTCTTCAGTGGGAAGAACGAAAGCAGGAGTTCCCCAAGGTTCTGTTCTTGGGCCTTTACTTTTTTTAGTATATATAAATGACCTACCATGTGGACTCTCAGGTCTCTCTAGACTATTTGCAGATGACACATCTGTGTCAAACACATCTAAAAACTTGAAAGACTTAGAAAAACTTACTAACCATGATCTAGAAAAAATTAACCAATGGTCAAAAAACTGGCTTGTAAAATTTAATTCTGAAAAAACCAAAATATTAATATTTGGCAGTAGTGAAGATGAAGTATCCAAACTAAGCTTTAAGTTTGACAGTCAAGAAATCATTCCATCTTCTACTCACTGTCATCTTGGACTTTCGAATTCTGGGAAATGGACAAACCACATTGATAATATTATTAAAAAGGCTTCAAAAGAAACTGCAGTTCTTAGAAAATTGAAATTATCTTTAAATCGTGATTTCTTAACAAAGATGTATACTACATTCATTAGGCCCTTATTTGAATATGCATCAGAAGTATGGGATAATATTTCTGCAGCTGACTGTGAAAGGCTAGAGAAACTTCAATTAGAAGATGCACGTATTGTAACTGGACTTCCTATTTACTCCCCCCGTGACTCTTTATATCATGAAACAGGATGGGAAACACTTGCTTATAGACGAGAAAAGAGAAAGTTATGTTTAATGTTTAAAATAAAACATGGTCTCGCGCCAGACTATTTATCGAATCTATTACCTCCTGAAGTCTCAGAAATAACCCAGTATGATTTACGAAATTGTAATAATATTGTTATACCCAAATGTAGAACGAACTTATTAAAAAAAATTCCTTCTTTCCATCTACAATATCATTATGGAACGCCTTGCCCTCTGAAATCAGAAACCTTGAAACTGTAAATGCTTTCAAAAAAAGACTTCTTAAATGTGAATCTCCCCCAAAATATTTTTCTTTTGGTGAAAAGAAAATAAACTCAATTCTAACTAGAATGAGACACAATGTGAGTCTCCTTAAGTCAGACCTGTTCAAAGTCAGGCTTTCAGATAACACTCATTGTTCTTGTGGATATACCAATGAAAACACTGAACACTTTTTTTTGTATTGTAAGAATTATGCTGAAATAAGAGCAGAATTATTTCACACTATAAGAAATAACAAAGGAACAATAGACCTTGACACAATTCTATTTGAGGACTCAAACTTGGGACAACAAAATAATATGAACATAGCTAAAGCCGTACACAAATATATTAAAAAATCGAAAAGATTTTTATGAATACCCAGCGTAACCATTCTGTATCTATTACAACCCCTTTCCTTTCTTTCTTTGCACCCCCACCCTTTTCTTATTTCCCTGCACTTTTTTTGTATTGTACATTTGTTGGTTGTACATCACGTGTATATGTATATGTCATTTTGTTTGTGTTGGAGAGGACAATTCTAAGTTGGTAAAACTTGTGTCCAATCCTATTGATTATGTTTCAATAGAATATGTTTAAATACAAAAAAAAAAAAAAAAAAAAAAAAAAAAAAAAAAAAAAATCTGATCCCGACTGGAAATTATTAAATGAAAATATTTCGGAAATTTATAAAAATACTAGACTGCTTGCCTGTAATATGGATTAGAATAAATTAATTAACTAATTAAAATATATATTTTATATTATTGATAAACTAAAAATACTTGATTGACTAATTAAGCTTTTGCAAATCTTTACTGAGAATGTGTGTGCTAATGGAAATGTTGTATATGCGTATTTTTACATGGATTGTGTAAATTATCATATCGATATCAATGTTATACTGTATGTCCAAAGTGTAATACATGGTAATACATGTTTTATAATACATGTATAAGTTTGAATGCCAAGAAATTTAATTCAGTTAGAATTGATTGTTATGAAATTATAAATTCAATACAACTAATAAATTTTCAAAAATCTCTTATCCATATTTTAATAATATATGATTTCATAATTGTTAAATTATCCACAGGTCCGTAGAACGCGATGGGACCAGGGGGCCCCGGCCCTCCACTTTTTCTGAGTGTAGTAGTTTGCTATATTAAATTTTCCTTCAGATGCTGGTGCCAACCCCTCCCCCACCCCATTTTGTCGCTGTAAGGTCGATCACTGACAAATTCCATAATTCCATGACTTGGACAGTTAATAAGGTTTTTGACTTGGACAGTTAATGAAATTTTTTTTTTGGGGGGGGGGGGTCCCCAACTTTTGAAACCGTTGCTACGAACCTGTTCCAGGCCTTTGCCACTACCTTATGTGTATTTATTTTAACATAAAACATAAGTGAAAAGACAATATGGCTTATTTTCAAAGGAAATTTACTTCAGTAAAGTTCTTTATGCTAAATGTACTCCAATTTTTCGCAAGTACGTATGCTATGTACAACGTTTGGGTTTTAATGTACGATTGTATATCACAATGGAGTACATGCATGTTTATGTTTTTCAAATGTAATTTGTATCCATAAAGATTTTTTAAAATTTATCTGAGCATACAAAAATAGTTATTTAATTTTTATGCTGTAACCTTGAAAATATGTATACAGATTGGTTTGCATAACATATCTGTTTGAAAGATGGCGAAGAGAGAAAACATGTACGCGCACTAATGCTATCCGTGCCTTACTTCTGTATTCAGGTTTAAATTTAATATTAATTTGATCCGCCACATGTAATTGTAGTCTCTAAACCAAATAAAATACAATCTGTGCATGCTTAGTACTTAGCGAAGAGGTTTTAGTCTTAGACCTAGTCTTACGCCGCTTTCTGAAACGCGATTTAGGCCCGTCTAAATTTTGGCGTAACTTCCTTAGTCGGACTAACTTAGGCCGAAATCTACGACTTTTTGAGAAACGAGCCCCAGGTGTCTACTTACAAAAGGTTGACATATATGTAGTTTACAGAATATTTACTCAGCTACGTTAAGGACGGCTTGAGTTCATATTTCTGAGGCACAGCGTAGCGAGTATCATTAAAAATTTATGAAGTAACAAAAATTAATTATATCGCATATTGACGCGTAAGCTGTGTACTTTCCCAGATGCAGGTTAAATATAGGAAATATATCTGCATACTATGCAACAAAGAATAAACATTAAGTTTCTTTTTTTCAGTGAATACCAACTTTGTTGAACAAACCACCGTCCTCTGTTAAGATTTGAAAAAAACTATTTTGTGTCAATCGATATTTTGTTTGATTATTCTTTGGTTGCTTAGCAACAGAAAAAAGATGTGCAGACATACACTGTAACCTTTGGTGTTATATCGGGCATATAACGAGACATGCTTTTCGTATTGTATTTGAACAAACAATGTTTGTTTATTGAGGTACATTTATTATTCATGCATAAATAACGAGTTTCGTTTACAGACAGCAATAGTTAAACAAGGATATTGTTTTTATATATATAAAAGTGTAGTTAACCTATTGTATTAATTTCATTTTTCTACAAAAAAGTGATAAAAAGAAGACTTTAAACAGTATAATTCCTCATCGTCCTAAGGACTGGACCAATCATCGGAAGCATCAAATTGGCAAACGATAATGAGTCCGTATATCTGCTTGGTTTTCAAAGACATTTAAGGGTCCTCAATAATATCATTTCTTGTTCATACAATGAACAATGCCCTTCCAAGAATCTGAAAATTGATAAAAAGGTCTGTTAAATCTAGGAAAGTGCATTTGATTGATATTCCTTAAAAACCTGAGATACAACATATAGTTTAATTAATATGGTAATTTATGGTAATTTACTTGGAATCTCCTTACCGATTTCAACATAACATTTCCAAGTATGAGTAGTTCAGACAATGTGAAGGTTAACAACGCGACTATATATGCAGTTGCATTTATTTTGCTATCCACTTCGTTTAAGTCCGCCTCTCAAATGTGCATGCGACATTACAATTGTTCAACCAAGTTTATTCTATTTAGCTTTGATAATTGTGTGCTGAAATTCAAATGAAGGTAAGTGAAGACCATTTTGTTTACTTATTACAATGCTAGGGGGTTGTGAGATTCCTGGATTAGACATTTTACTATTCCTTATCATTATGATTAATGATTATAATTAATAATAACTACAAATTGTATGTCTATGGAAACAAGGCCTAGGAACCAACCCCTCAAAAGCTCTGTAAGAATATAGAAATAAAGCCTTTAATTTATTCCCCTTTATCCGATAACTCATTTATAATTCATTAATGATTAAATCATTAATTATTCACTTGGGAAATAATATTAAGTGTAGAGACTAATGAGAAGAAAAGGAGATGAAAATTTCTGTCACAATGCACATTTTCATTAAGAAATTTCTTTATTGTTAAGTAAATGCCCAAACTTGAATTCTCTGTACGTTATTAGGTGTGTAAATTACATTAACACCTCAGGACTAGACAGGAAGAAAGTCTAACTTGTTTGCACTAGGTACCAGCATGTTTAATTTAACTTCTTAAGATATACATGATACATCTTGAACCTCAGAGCATGTTGTAGACAACCTACAAAGAAAACCTTTAAGCATGTACAGTCACTAAATATCAAACAAATATTAAATTTTGACTACATTTTCTTGCAAATACTGATCAGTCCACATGCAACACACAGCACTGATAATTCAGAGTATTTTGTTAATTTTCTTACACTGAAACTTTTGTATTATCCTGCACTAAACTGTATCTCATTTAAAAACGCATATACACTTGACAAAATTGCTAACGCGCCACGAAAGTAAATTTATGTTTTACTTTCAAAACTTTTTTATGATGTATTTGATATATGATTATGTTACTTATGTAAAAATGAGTCATTTAAATGTCTTAAATGATAAATAACTACAAAGTTAACTGAAGCGTAACCATTTTGTAGAAAAAAATGAAAATTGTGCCCATATTTTTTTAGAGGAGTATATTTCTATTTTTTTCTTTTTGTTTGTTTTCTTTATGTTTGTACTAATTAAAAACTCAGCTAAAAAATTCAACAATATGCAGCGTTTGACCCTAGAAGAGTGTGCTAAAGCAACAAACAGGTCTCGTCTGAAGTCATCTTTTCGCAAGTTTTTCTGTCGATACAATGACCTTGTCAGCAATACAACCTATCATTGAGTCAAATGCTGCCTGACGTTTTTCATACTTATTGTTAGGCCATTATTTATACACTGAACTGTCTACGGATTTTTCCGGTTTAGTTTCCCGATCATGACAAGGAGCACACGGCGGGTGTGACCGGTCGGCAGGGAATACTCACTCCTCTATGACACCTGATCCCACCTCTAAATTTTGAGGTCCGTGTTTGCTCTGTTCCAAATTTGTATCGTTTCATTGGACTTTCGAGATTGAATGCTGTTCGTTATTTTCATATTTCATTCACTTTTTCTTTAACTATTTGGCATATAAATTTTTTCATGTACTTTTAAATTTATAGGCATCAAATTTTAGAATGTAGAGATTACTCTTCATTCAAAGAAAATCATGATTTTGTTTTTTCAAAGAGAATTAAAGTGGTGTCTATTGAATGTTTAAATACAATTTCTACTCAGAAGCGTTTGATTGGAATGAAAGTTAAGAATTATCGATATCTGTGGTACGGAAAAAAGCAAACATTATCTTTTGATCATGATGCTTTACGAAAATATGTGTCAGAAAATTTAGATTTTGGAGTGCATTGTTTTCATGTTTTGCAGACACTCAGCATCACGGAGCGGTTTATAAAAACATGGACGATATGCAAAATTCTAGAGACATATACGAAAGGTCTTATTTGTGTCGAATATTAAAAGGATTTATCAATCTAAAGAAACATGATATCCACCTCGGCTTCTCCTGGGTCTACATCATCTTTATTTGGATAAATGAATCTTTATGAAACCTTTGACAAAAGTAAATAATTATAATATAGTAAGAGGCCATAAGGGTGTGTGTGTGTGATTTTTTTTTTACTGTAGCATTACTTTCACTTTTTCTATTCTTAGAATGATGTAATCCTGCTATGCAGTAACATGATCCGCCCTAAGGTGAACCAGTTATCTTGAAGCATAAAATTTACAAGTGGTTACGATCTATATATATACCTCATAGATTTTTGGCAATTTAAGGGATTGTAGAGATATAATTGATTTTGATAAATAATGGCTTTGTCCTTCTCTGGAAATAAAAAAAATATTTAAAAAGGAATATTACATTTAAGAAGTGTTCATTTACATTAGATCTCGCTTAAAACCTGAAAGAGAATCAACAGATATAATAGTTCGTTTCAAAACATGACATTTTCTTACCGTAAAGCTACATAATGTTTTAGTAATATTAAAAGAAGCAAGCAGATAATTTATTTTGAACCTATATGAGTAGTTAAGACAACGGGAAAGCTAAGCCATACATGTTAATATATAATAAATGCACTGGATTAATAAATAACTGAAACTCTACTGAAAAACTAGGGAAACTTTGGCTTTTTAAAGTTTCCGTCAAGTTTTAAGACTAAAACTGCATGCTTCATCACATTTCCGCAGCCCGGAAACTTAAGTTTTGCAAGAATTGAAATGGTTTACGTAAAGGAAATTGGGTAAAACATGAATCAACTGCAATTAAGGTCTCGGTGTGCATAAAAGGTCTCATACATGTAGTTTATCTTGCATTTATTTTGTTTTCGCCTTTTTTGAGAGCCACTACTCAAATGTGATCAAGGTATTACAAAAGAGACGGAGTTTCTTCATTTTTATCTTGTGTAAACAGTAGTCAGGTGATAAAGGTATGCATTTTTTAAAATTATCTTTTTAAAACTTTAAATTATGTCAATCTCATACGAGTAATACCCATTGTACATAATTTAATTCAACGAAACAAGACTTTTGTTACTATTACAGTGTTCTGTCTCCACTGAGTACTTTCACTAAATACAGGTATAACTATATAAAACATTATGCAACAAGCGGTGGTTATTGAATTTCTTTTCCCACAAATTCTGAGGACTTTATTGAACAATCCCCCGTCCTCTGTTAAGAGTTGAAACAAAACATTTATTTCAGTCGATATTGTTTGATTTTCTGTGTTTCCTAGGCTGAATAAAAAGAACGTACAGCTTAAAATCTACGCTATAACCCAGTGGATTTGATATCGTGTATATAACGATACACCAAACATGCACTGTAACTATTGGTCTTTTTTAACACTTCTGTCTATAGTTACCTGAAACTATATATCATTGATCGGTGTAAATTTGTCCTGGTATTTTCGTTCTATACATAATATTAGTCATAACAAGTCACTGGGGTACTTTTGTTGATCATGTATCAAAAAATGAGCTCCCTAAACAGCAATATTTAAGCAAGAATATTGTTTAGTGTTCATAAAATCTTTACTTAAACATGAAAAATGTAATTTTACAATAGGATTATTTTCATTTTTTTTATTTACGTAAATTCAAAAAATAATAATCCTGTGAGAAAGGGCTTTATACAGTATTTCTTACAGGTCGAAGCAATTATCAAAAATAGATATTATAACCAAACGGTGTTGATTTACTTTCATATGCATGTTAGATAGTCAAATTTGTTGGTTTTAAAACATTTAGTACAAAGTACGTATACTGTTACCCTACCGCGTGCATAAACCACGCTCTCCTGGTAACATCACATAGAAACAGTTGAAAATGCACATCGACGTGTAACAGTATAAAATTTTTAAATCTGATTAAAATCAGATCCTCGATGCTCCTTTTTTAACGATATGTCGCTTACTGCGCAGAATGGTTTACCTTGACATTTTTCTTTATATTCATTAAAAATACATCAGTGTAACAAAAAATATTACATGATTTTTTAGGGTAACATGTGAAATTGTTATCTTTGAAAACCATTCAAGACTTCGGCCTTGCCTCGGTCAACAATGGTTTTCGCGAGATAACAAATTCACATGTTTCTCTAAAAAAAAAAATCATGTAATAGTTTTGTAATGAGTCCTTTTTAAGGAAGATTTTTTGAAATTGATGGTTTTCGATTTTTTTTATAGAAGATGAACTTTGCAATACTTTGAAACTTGAAGAAAACAAAATGTAAAATCTAGGAGTTTGTATAATTATATATGTATTAAGGAGGGATTCTTCTCATATTTCTTGTATCTAAAAATTTATGAAAATTTCATAGATTCAAGAAGACATTATCACTAAGTGATGGTATCAATTAGATTAAAGTGACACCGTGACAGAAAAACGGGAAAATCGACAAAAGTAGCATTTATGCATGGCACATTTTGTTCAGTTCTTGAAAGTATTAGGTTTCAGGAAAATGCAGGTTTCAGAACCTAAAAAATCTACTTTAATGGAGAAAAATAGAAGTAAAAAAAACTTTGTATAACCCAACACAAAAATATTGCTTCACTTCTTCCTCTTTATTGTACGCATGCGCTAAAAAGTTGAAGAATTTACCATGGTTTAAATTTTAAATTTTCAATTCCATAGACATAAATATCGGATGACCGAGAATTTTTATACAATCTTCAATAAAGATGATCAGAACTTATTTCTCACTTCTGCTTGCTCCAATTTAATGTTGTTTACAAGTTTCATGCTAAAAATAAAGGACGCGTGACCTTGAAATTGTAGACATTGACGATAAAACCAAAGCGATAGATACAACATTTGTTTTTCCGGCACTTACATTTTGCTGCTTTTTTCTTGCTTTACGGTGCAGTTGAGTTGCCAAAACTTCATTATATTCATATTTCACATAAATCTTTTGTTTTGTGATACAACTTTCATAAAAGAAACACATGATTTTGACTCATTATTTAACTTTAAATTTGACCATTTTATTTTAGAAGAAATGTCAGGTCAAGGTCATTATCTTTTTCCTTGACATTGAAATAAAATACTCTAGCCAATCATGCGATGCTTACTTCTATTTCAAAAGATTTATTTAAATGTTTTTCTTTTGCATAAAAATATAAGGTTTATCAGATGATACTACCAAATTG